CCCCCTGGAAGCGGACATCGCAAAAAAAAAAAAAAACACCGGATTTGGGTTTCTCTAGCCAAGCGCAGAACAGCGGCATACTCCAAAAAAAAAAAACACAAAAAACACAGCTATTTTTTACATGACCGGGTGACCCGGTCACCGGACCGGCCCGAGCGTCACGCCCGGGTGACCGGCCGGTCCGGACCGGCCGGTCACCGGAATCTTCCTAGGTTGATTGCTTTTTCATGGTGGTCTCCGCAGATGGACAAGCATCTACTCAAATGAATGTTGGTGGTCGAGGCAAATTCAGGCACGTAGTGATGGGCATGGTGTATTCGGAAATTGGCTCGCCGATACTCGCACGGAGAGGAAATATCTTGAGGAATGTAGTGAACGATACGAGTATGGCATTGCTTCGCAAATTCATGACATGGAGCAGCGTCTACTTCAGCGTGAGTCTAAAGTGCCTTATTGTATTGCAGGTAAGGTTCCGAACGATTCCGCATTGAAAGGAGAATGCAGTCGCTATATGGCTGACAATGAAGGCCTTCGGTGGACTCAGGACGAGTTGCTTGGGATGTTGAAGAAGAAGGAGGCGGAAGTGACTCCCTGAGGAGTGCATTCGCAAAAATTGAGGTGAATGCACGATCAGTGCTTGAAAGTTTCCTGGAAAGGAAACGAAGTGAAGAGGTGAGAGATTGGTCTTTGTTCGGTAGTGTGGATGCGAAGAAGGAGGAGAATGTTGGCGATGACATTGCCAGCCAACTTACGTCTTTAATCCAATCCTCCATTAGAAATGACTTGCTTGAATAAGTTGTTGAGCTTAGTACTAAAGTTGATCCGCATGTGTCCCAAGAGTGTGAGTAGTTGCGTCTACGCTGTGAAACAGCCGAGAGTGGATTGAGAAAATTGTTGTCGGTAGGTGTCTTGTCATCGATTGATCCTTCTTTTGCATCAAAGGTGTTTAAACTTCCATCAGGTCGAACTTTAGAAGAGCTTCCAAAAAGTTGTTTGATTGGTATGTTGCAATCATTGCGAACAGTTGGTGTGGAGCTTGCACATAGAAATGCGCTTTTGGAGGTGCAAAATACAATGAGGATTCCGGTAAGCGATAGCCAGTTGAGAGCGACAGTTGTTACTGTCGGACAATTGTACAAGGACGCACGAGAAGAGTTAATGGACGTTGTGTTTCAACATAGTTTCTCGGATCAGTGCGGTGAGGGACTGACGGATGGCATGATGGCGAGGTACAAGGAGCAGTTGTATAGCCTCATAAGTTTGTTTGCAAATATCATTGCTGCTCATTCGCCGGTGCGGGTTATGAAGGAGATGGGCCATGTAAAAAATGAATTGAATGCTCTCGCGAGCATAAATAAAAAACATGAGACTAGATTGCATGAGGTGGTGTTTGCATTGGTTGAAGTTCTGCGGCGTCGATGTCCAAAGTGTGGCCGCCTAAGCTATTTAACAAAGGGGGACTATAGAAAGATAAATGATTTGACGGTTGTTACACCTACGTGTGACAACACGACAAACCTTTATCCCCATG